AAAACAAAAAATTAAAAAAATATAAAAAAAAAGATACGAGTGGTCAAGAATTTTGTCTTATTAATTTAATGCTCTTATAAGAAATTCGTTTTCAAATCTACATTTCACAATACTTTAATGGTAAGTATTGAAATAAAAAAAAATCGAAAAAACTGAAAGGAAAAGTGTAAAAACGACGATTCTTGACAAAGTAGAAAAAAGAAAAAATCGAAAAAAATTTTTAATAGCTATTTATGTAACAAGTACGCAAAATAGGGTTTTAGAGGACGAATCGAGAGGAGTCACCTAAAACCTTTTGCGTACGTGGTGCATACAAGATTTTTTTGTTAAAGCTCTTAGACACGAATTCACACCTCTTACTAATTAAAAAAAAATCTTTTACCTTAGTAACCAATTTCATTTTTTAGTTCACAAAAACTGTTTTTGGGGACTGAGTACCTAAAATAACTGTCTTGCGTACTATTTTATTGAGTCCGGAAAAGACTCATTTTAGGGACTCAAATGAGTCTCTAAAACAGCTATTTTCGAGAGCGTATACAAAAAAAAACTTTTCAAAACCGTATCTATATTGGAAGTTAAAAAGTTTCTAATGTAGAACCTATAAAAATCACCCTGTATTTTTATGTCTTGGTAAACAAAATAGTAGGGATTTAGCTTGTGAGCCGTTTGATCGAAAGCTCCGAAACTGAATTATCAACTTTCTCCTTCGATCAGGAAATTATGAAGAACCTGTTAGACAAAGTGTAATTTTATTCGCGGCAAGCGTCGTTAAAAAGATTTACGATCAAGTCTGAAGCAAGGAGAGATTATTGCTTTAACGAGCCGACCGAACGCATGATTTATCTTGTTGTATTTTTTTCCAATAGAGATCACAACTCGTGCCAAGATGACGTGAAAACTCGCTCGTAATTTGTGTTTATATTTAAAAAAACCGCTTGAATAAATCAGGTTTATGGCAACAAAGGTTCGAGCCCCTTTAGTCGAGGGTAATGAGGAGTCGTTTATCAACCCCTCTATTTTCAATTAATCAACTTCCTGGGAATGCGAGATAAGACGAGCATCTCGCAACTCGCAGTTTTGTTCCGGGAAATTAAGGTGTCCGCTGTTGTTGGCGTGATTTAATTGTGCGAACGGCTGTTTTTCTTTTTTTTTAGTATTAATTAATAATGTTTTTCGCCAAGGCTTCATTGTCAATTTGCATTGACTATTATTCTCGAGGGATGAAAGGAAAAGGGTTATTGCAAAAACGTCAACTTGATTCTATTTAATTAAGAATCTCTGGCAACCTTTTACAACACAACATAACGAGCTCTCTGTTACGTTCTACGTTTTTGCAAGCATTGAGCTATTAGGAAAATTGGTTATTCGAATGGAAATTTTTGGATCAATGAGTTTTCATATCGAGAGAGGAAATGACCAGTCATTCTTTTCTCATATCAAAGTGATTTGTTGCACTCGTCGGCTAAAACTTATTTTAGTTATTTATAACTCTTTAAATGCCTCAAACATATTTTACTCAATAGCAATGACAATTTTTATCTTGCAATATAGGGTGTGTCAGAACTCGCGCCCCAGAGAAAAATCTCAAGTAAGATAAGATATGTTGTAATACGCGTTTTTTATACTATTTTTTCTATTGAGCGCTATTTAATTTAATTTTATTATTATATTTGACAGTTAAAATTTTTGACACTTGACGTATGCGGTACCAACATTGCAACTGAAAACAGTTCCACAAAATACTCATTGTGACACCAAAATAAAAAAGTACAGAGTGGTTATAAATGATTTTCATCTAGCCAGCTGTGAATTTTCCATGTAAAATAAAAAATGCCGCTTTACGAAAATAGGGGTACCCACTTGTTGTAACTCAAAATTAAAAAATCGCCGTTTACTAAGCGTCCACTTCGAAAATAATCAATTATAAACTTGTTTTCTTCCAAAGTATACATTATTATCAATTATTATTGGAAATTAGTTGAAACAATAAAAAATTAATTAACAACAATTTATTATTAATTAATAACTGACACTAATGACAGAACTAGAGCTTTCAAAAAAGTAGAGCGGCACAAATAAAGTTACATGCAAAAAAATTCCAAAGCTGGCTAGATGAAAATCATTTATAACCACTCTGTATATTCATAAATGACAATAGTTTTTTTATTGAATACGATATAAAATACAGAGTGTTGCATTTAAAAACACTAAGTTGTAGTTGTTCAAAAAATGCATTGGTAATTTGATTACTGCTATACGAAAATTACATCAGGCAATATAGAAAAGCTTAAAAAACTTTTAAAAAAATAATACAAAAAAATTTACTTTTCTGTCGCTCCATTTACTAGTTACTAACTCTCCGCGTTAAAAGTAGTACGTACCGCGCCCAATTTGAATTTTTACTTTAAAATGTTTTATTATACATTTACAAAAAAATAATTTTTAATGTCACAGTTACCATGATATTTTAGTAATGCAAGGTAGGATGCAGGACAAATAACGACTTAAGCAATATTCTACAATTTATTTTCTGTTATTTAGTTTTATTCATGATTTTTAGTTTTTGTTATTCTGATTTGCTGACAGTCAAATAGCAAGGTGACAAGATGTAACCCAAAATACTATAATGCTAAAAACCTCATTTTTTATAAAACAAAAAAAATAGCTCAATAAAAAGCCTAAACACAGATTTTTGTTCTTAAAAGAAATAAGCATTAGTAACCAGCTTTTAAGCCTCAGAATTATCATTATTCTTTTTGTAGAAGTACTTTCCTAAGAAATATAATAGGTTACATTTACAATTAACTAAGAATTTGTATATTTACCTGAAAATAATTGTTAAAATCTCTTAAAATGTTCGTTATATTAATGTAATAATGTCTTTTAAATAACCAAAAACGATTATTAACACTTAAGAAATCAACTAAACGGCGTTAAATCTACACGTTTTAAATTCAAGTGTGACACGAATGACAGCAAAACATGACAGGTGCAAAACTGGGGAAGGAATACAAGCGCGCGAAAGTTACCAACCTAACAGTAACAACAACACGTCCTGACATAGAACTGTTTTAGTGATTTTAATGTTGTTAGTATAATTTAAAAAATCTAATCTATCGCTGAAAAATTTATATCTTTATTCATCAAGTTGCTTCAAGAAAGTAAGATCATTAATCTCTGTTTTCGAAAAATAAACAATAAATTATTAGCATAGAAATGTATTTTTAAAAATTATGTAAAAAAATGACGGATAAGCTCGTTGGTCTTCTATGGTAAATTTTCTAAAAACTTACAAAAAATAATTAAAAATTCTGTAAGCCGAAGTTTAGAAACTATTAAGCTTCAAAGCTTACGAATAAATTTTATAATTCTGATCTATCTTAATTTGTTACCTTTCCGAAAACATAGAGAATTATTTCATTGTTAACAACAGTAAAAATATATTTGTGTAAAACTTTAAAAAGAGGTAGGTGAATTTAACTAAAATTATATCTGACAACACTGGATAAGAATTACTTTAATATCAATTATTTTTCTTTTGTTTTTTGATAAACAGAAACTACTTTAATTTTTCGCTACTTTTATTATTTTTGATGTTACATTACAACGTTGTCAGCTTAGTAAAATTCAAAATTCAAAAAAATAAAGACATTTTTTAGCATTTTTACATACTTCCCGAAGCTTTTCCAAAAATGCTTGATTGAGGTTCTCCGTCATTTTTTGATCACCGTGTATATACTCGGAAAAATAAACAATTAAGTTATTATTATTTTATTGAAAACGTAGGTTTTAAAATTACGTAAAAATTTTAATAACTTTGCAACAAACATCCGGACTATCGTGTCAACTCTACCATTGATTTTAATTAATGACGTGAGTCAGAAAAGCTGTTACTTTACGGACTACATATTATTTTCATAATTATGATCATTAATGTATGATTCTAAAAAATAAACAATAAATAAAATTAGAAAAACTATGCAATCAACATCAATTGTGACAATTCTACCGTTAATTGTAATTAACGACATATGAGTCAGAAAGCTACTATTTTACGGACTATTTTGCGTTACTTTACGACCAACATATTTATTTTGTTGACGTTTTTTTGGTCGTATATTGATTTTGTGGCCTATTTTAGCAAAATCTTGCACAAAAAAACAAGTATTTAGCTCAATAGGTTAGTATTGAGCAAAGTTACAGTAGTTAAAAACTACTATTTTACGGACTATTTTGGGTTGCTTTACGGCCTCTATATTTCGTTAATTCGTTAATTATAGATTAGTTTTGAGTAAAGTTGCAGTTGATACAAAATATCTGCAATACGTTTAATTTGAAGTTTTTTATCGAACGAATGAATTAAACTTAAATTATCGTTGAACTTTATCAACTTGGCCAAAAACCCGTAATCCTTTTCCTAGCGATAAACTATTCAAAGTGCACTCTCTCAAGCCTTTCTTACTTTTGTCGGTTAATTCTTGTTGTTATCAGCACCTTTCTGACTCATTACCTCGTCCTATCTCGTAAAAAGACAAAAACTTTACTTTTATCCCCTTGTCTCGCTTGAAATTCCTTTAATCGCTCGACATGTCTCTCACAAAGGATTAATTATCGAAGAATCAACACAGACCAGAAAATAATTATAACTAACGTAGGGTGAAACAATTATTGCAACAGTAGTCTGTCCGTTAATTAAAAGGTGTTTTGAGTAAAAGCTCAATTCTCTGTGTGCCTTTGTGGTAAACGGACAAAGGTATTTGGACTATTATTTCGACAAAAATAAATAAATGAGAAATGTGCTTTTATCGTAACATGTGTGGGGGCATTTTTTCGAGTTTTGCTCCAAATTTGTAGTTTTGTGTTTCGTATCAGACAACTCCATTTGGGGGCGGAAATCGAGACGATGCTTCTCACGCGTGGGAACGCAAGGATGGGGAAATTGAGAAGAGGGTGGGTTTAACTCTATAGTTTTTTTTACACTTTTATTTCTTTTGTTGCAGGTAAAGGCCCAGATTGACTTCAAGGACTCATTCCGACTCCCTTAAAACGTAATTTGTTGGAAATTTATGTTCTGTTATGTAGTTAATTCAAGTAAAAAATTATTTGTTCTTGTGTTTTTTTAACTGGCACGACAGTAAAGAATTTTTTTTTTTAAATAAAACGAAACAAATTTGCATAAATGAGTGAGATAATCTTCTCGAGATACTGGTAAAAATATCGTGTGTTAAATTAGTTTTCAACCAAACTCCGAAACCAAGTACTTGGAAACTTCTTCATCAACGTAAAGTTTTACTATTTGTACTTTACATCACCTAAGAGAGCAGATTCTTTTAACTGCACATTTACAAGTTCAAGAACTAAAAGAAAGAAGTGATATTTTTGGTAGAATGTGTTTACGAAAATTTTGTTTAATTTCGAAAAAACGCAGTAACTAAGTTCAAACAAAAATAAAACAAACTTTTTTACAAAGACACTCAATAGATAAAATGGTTCACAATGTTGATAAAAAAAATTGATTTGTTTTTTAAAGTGTTTTTTTTTAATAGATTAATAATGATTATTAATCTTATAAATGCAA